GCCACAGAGTCAAGCACAAAGGTAGTATTTCCTTGACCATCTTCACCTTAAAGCACTGACGTTAGACAAAATGCTTCTGCTTCCACAGCACCCATCTATAATGAGAGATTAAGGTATTCTTTGCATAAAGAACAGTAGCAGTATAAAGAAGACATGGGGAGTTCAAAGAGCCTAGGCCTTTGAGACAATGACCATAAAGGTAAATGTTTCCTTTGCAAAAGTTACCTTCTCTGACTAGAACTTCTAAATCCCCTAACCATTACTGGCTATACTCCTCTCCTCAGATTGAAGAAGCTACTTAGATGAGTAGTGAAACATTTCAGCCGAATAAGAAAGAAGTCCAGTTGCCATGACTCAGCTTCCAGATAATGTTCCCTGGATGAATGAGAATCTTCACAGACATATTGCTGGCCATACTGTTTGGCGAATTTGGAAAGTTCAAGCTATACTCCTAACATACTTTCATATTTATTAAAACCAAGGACAGAAATCTCTACTTCTTAGAATCTGCTTCTCACTACAGTACTTTGCATATGCTCTCACTGGAACTCAAGATGGATAAACTGAGAGTCTCGAATTTTTGAGAAGACATGAGTACACAACAATGCAAGATTAAAAAGCAAGGACAATAGTGCTGACTGGAAAACCTAACATGAATGAACTGACTCAATAAAAAAAGCTATGGCCTCCAGTATGCAAGACTCAGGCAGTTTTTATTGATAGTGACCTATAACGATTGCCTTCAATCGTTGGAAGTGATCTGAAGGCATATAGCAAATAAATAGAATTTTCTTCAATCTAAGACATGTAAGATTAATGTTAATTATGGCCTTCTCACCTATCAGGAACATTCTGTTCTTCCTTATCTCAGGAAAAAAACATTTGTGCAACTTTGTATAAACCACCAATATTGGGATAAGAGTCCCATTATAACACTGAAAGTTGGACAGGTCTAATCCCCCTGTTTTGGAGGTGTTTTCTGCGAACCCTAGCAAGAGCAAAAACTGGCTTTGTTCTTATCCCTTAAATCTTTGAGGCCGATATTAAACCAGTACTCCACTAGCTCAAGGGCACTCTCACACAAACTTATGAAGTATTATTAGCTTCTTCCTCATCTCCTTATTCTATTAAGAATGAAAACTTGCTAGAAAGCTTACAATGGAGATATCCCAGTTAGGGTCAAAGGAGCTTCTTTGGGGAACACCTGAAATGTTACAAATCTCTTACACACAAAACATTCTCACTCAGAACTTGAGTTTCAGCTCTCAAAATCCCCAATGCAGCATGGCCACTGGTAGATTCTAGGATCTACTGCTGAAAAAGTTATCAAAGCTTTGCTTCTATACAGTAGGACTCCTGTATCCACAGAACCAGTATCCATTGTTTCACTTTCACATGGTTTATCACAGCCCTACATACAACATACAAGAGCTTGTGGCCTTTGACCTGCTTCATTCTATGTTTTATACACAGGGCTCATATGTTCACAGTTTCAGGTATTCACAGTATATTGTAGAACCAATCCCCCTAGGTGTCCTACTGTATAGGCAAGTGCTCCTAAGCTGGATGGAAATCTTAACAATTGCATATATATTTAATACACTGGCTGAAATCCTGGTGCACAGCTAATGCAAAAGGAGTAACTTAGAAGCAAATTGCCTCAACTTAAGAAATCTCCACAGACATTGCCTGTTGTATGTGGAGATGATATAGCCCATATAGAGACAATAACTTCCTGCTTTTCTAACAGTTGCTTCACATGATGAAAATGATTCCAGATGGGATAGTAGAAGTGTGTTCTCCACATGTGTGAAGATTCCTGAATAATACTCAAATCATCAACAGTCTTGAACTTTCTAAGAAAAAAAATGGGATCTCAATATTTCAGGCAAAATGAGATCCAATTTCACGTCTCCTGTGCTATATCTGGGCCTGAAATAACAGAAGTGTCCTGGAACCATTTGCTGGATCATGACCTTTGCCATGATACCTAGCATAATCAATGCACAGATACAATAGACTTTATAGTCCAAAGCATCAGAATAGCATTTAGTAGACTATGGGTGTTTTAAATATTTTCTTTTCTTTTTGCAGGTAGGAGAATAACAGTTTACACCAAGAGCATTTTTGTAGCCCCATGGATACCCCAGAACCCTTATTTGTAGCCCCAGAGACCATCTGGGCACTTCCCGCCTACATGGCCAAAACTAGCCATTTCCAATTATTTAGCTAGCAAGCCCTCCAAGGTTTCCCACACCTATTTTGGATTCTACAAGAGTCATACACCTAGGTACAACATAGGAACAAAATCACTGATGTACTTTATTGAGCTGCTGTTAACGACAACTGGAGAGAAAGACAGAAAGGGAGGGAGAGAGAGAGATCAGAAGCTCTTAGTGCCATGCAAATACTAATTATCATTATTATTTTTATTACTGTAGTGATGACTGATACGTAATTGCTCTCTGCTCTGTACTATTATGTTGCTACCTCCCCTCCCTGGAGCCCTTTAGAAGGTAGGAAAATATAAGCCTCCCAAGAAAAACATAATACCCTAAACAATGTCCTTGTGCCTCCACTGGCAAAGATTTAGATTTAGAAGCACAACAGCCAGATAGAAAAAAGAGAGCAAGGAAATTAAAAGAAGACATGGTCTGTGTTTCTCATCCTGGTTTGCAACTTTGAGCAAAAAACAGACAATACGCACCCAGAGTTGTATTTAGCTTTAAGAAGACCCAGTTCCACATTTTGCAGAAGATGGTGAATTTTTCTGAGCATTTTTTTTATAAAATGTGACCTTTGAGATGTGGTCTTTGAGCAAAAAACAGACAATACGCACCCAGAGTTGTATTTAGCTTTAAGAAGACCCAGTTCCACATTTTGCAGAAGATGGTGAATTTTTCTGAGCATTTTTTTTTGAAATGCAATAAAATGTGACCTTTGTGGGTTTTTTTGTGTGTGTTAAGGAGTTCGGAGCAGGAGGAGAGACTGCCCCAGGCTTTGCTCCTTGATGCGGCGCCAAATGTGTCATCGTGAAATCCCAGATCTCCAAATGCTTCAGATGGGAATTTACAGCACAGCCTTTTCTTCGGTTCAACTTTTCATTATCTTGATAAACCAAAGCTACTGACGCATTGCTCTTCAGCAGCATTAATCCTATTACATCTGCTGGAGGGGGCGAGGAGCCACCTTGTAGACGACGGGATTGGCCCCCTAAGAGGTACTGCAGAGCTCCTTCTTGAATATTTAAATTCTCATTAAAAGAAAAGGTAAGTTTCTAGTCCTTTTATTCAAATAAAAAGCAGTATCACTCCTTCTAATAACAAGTGCAGGTCAAGTGTGCTGACAGAAACAGAGAAGAAAGAGGAAGAGGAACGTAACATTTGCAGAGGTACACAGCTCCCTTTAAAAATGGACCTTACAGGAAATTCCTCTGCATGCACATTTTTAAAAAAGGTAGTCCAATGAGACTTGGGTATGTTCAGTAGCCCTGGAATATGGAGTATAGCCAGCAAAAAGAAAATAAATACAGTGGTGCCTCGCTAGACGATGATAATCCGTTCCACTGAAATCGCTGTTTAGCGAAATCATTGTCTAGCGAAAAGCATTTCCCCATTGGAATGCATTGAAACCTGTTTAATGCGTTCCAATGGGGAAGAATCGTCGTTGTTTAGCGAAGATCAGCCATAGGAAAGCCGCTTTGCGAACCGCCAATCAGCTGTTTAAATCGCTGTCTTGCGAAGCTTAGGTCCCGAAAACACCTGTTTGCGAGCGTGGAGGGAGCTGTCAAAATCGTAGTCTAGCGAAAATCGGTTTGCAAAGCAGGAACCAAACACTGTCTACTGAAATTCCCCCATAGGAATCACTGTTTTGCGAATTGCTATAGCGATCACAAAAAGCCAATGTCTAGCGAAAAAACTGTCATGCGGGGTAACTGTCTAGCGAGGCACCACTGTACATGGAATGGAGTGCCGTGGAAGAAGGCACAGCCAGCTGGCTGGCTCCCTAAGCCAAAGTACATCTGTTGAAGAGGAACACAGGATGTGACAAGATGGGTGTTTTCCTGCTGTTTGGTTCACTTTTGGTGATGGGCCAGTTTGTGCCTTTTTGCATCAAAACCACAACATGTAAGTGCCACTGCAAACCAGCCCATCCCTAACATGTTCCTACCCACACCTTTCTGGCTCCCTGTCAGGGGCTACTGGTTTTTAGGTTCAGGTAGGATCACTCTGCTTTGGTTTGGCACGTGCGATCGCTGGGATCAAGCCAAAGCAGACGGCTTAACCAGATAGCTTAACAATATTGGCAAATTGAAAGCTTGCTCTATTCCTGCATACAGTGGGAGAGATAGAGAGAATGAGGGTTGTAGTTGTTGTTTTTAAAGCCTTGTAGGGCAATGCCTTTTGGAGGGGGGGATTGAAAGCTTCCTCCCGGAAAGAGGAGGAAATAGGAGTGGGCAAGAAGAGGGATTGTTTTGTGTTTTGTAATTTTTTCTTTCTTTCGAAGAAAAGAAAGGGCTAAAGAGGGTTGCTAGATGGACAGTGTGGTCCTGAAACCATCCAATCTTTGTATGACAGACAATGCACGGGTCACACTAAGTGGCATACTGCACCTCTATGCAACCTTAAGAGACCCTATTTAGACGGCCCAAGTCCGCTCCAATTTGATCAACTAGCCAAGCCCACAGGAATGTTTGGTTGCCCATCTCAGTTTTTACAGTCTGCAGTAACAACAGAAGCTGGTCTTCCACTCATTATTCTGGTTAGTAAGTACAATGCCAATAGCATGAGTGAAATATAGGACACTTGTTTTCCCTTCCAGGAAAATAGATTGTTAATTTTGTAGATGCAATTTGATAAAACAGAACACTTTCTGGTTTATTACTACTACAGTATTTGGATGTTTCCCCTTTGGGATGAACCTATAATAATGTTCTTCCTTCCATCAGGTATACGCTCAGGTGCCCCACACCACACCTGCGCTGCCAGTCAGGGACCCACCTTTCCGGAACAACTCTTGGAGGCTTTCGGCACTCTGATTCAACACAGCCCATATCTCTTCTTCTTGCAGGGGTCCTCCACGCACCTCCAGGGCTTCGGCTAGTGATACATGCATGATACCTGAGGAAGGAAGACAAGACAACGCTTGTTGAGGAATGTGCCCAGATTCCATTCTGTTCTCTCTTTCCATGAAGTGTTTGTGTATGGTTCAGGAGGATTTTTTTTCTTCCCAAAGGTTGCAGCTACTCAGATGAGCTTTCAAAGCTCATTATCTGAATTCCTGAAAACATCACAAATACCCATAAAGAGGCAAACTTGCTGCCTGTGTCTGACTGGTGCTCAACAGATAAAATGTCCGATGGGTATAAGGTTGTTTCATATGTTAGGTATATTTACAGATTAATTGAGATAAATTGGCAAAAATCATATTGTTCTTTCTTTCTTTCTGGCTCACAGCAGCTTTGCTCTGTCTGCATTCTCTAACTAAAGAAAATCATATTTGCATTTCAGGTTTTATGCTTTGCATTCTTCCCAACCTAACAGGTCTATTGCCAGCCTTTGCCAACCTGGTTGCCTCCAGATGTTTTAGATCCTCAGCCAGAAGGAACATCGAATTTGTAATCTTGAATCACAGAATCGTGAAGTTGGAAGGGGCCTATAAAGCTATCATGTCCAACCCCCTGCTTGATGCAAAAATACAAATCAAAGACTATCCACCTTGAAGATGTGAGACAGGAAAAATCTGGCCTATGGGTCAGCAGGAAACAAAAGGAGCTTTTCCTACACATTAGTAAACCACTGAAAATGGAGCAGTCTCTGTCATCAGAAATTCTGATGCTATTTTTCCCACCACCAAATGCTGAGGCCAGGGATTGAAACCAGAACCTTCTACATGCAAAACTGGTGCTGGACTACTAAATGCCATTCTTTTCCATAAGGCAGTGAACGACACATTACTCAGATGGAGGCTTTAAGGTGGAACCTGCACTTTATAGGGTCAGATAAGACTGCACTGGTTAACTGTATCCCCAATCCATGCTGACCTGCCAGCTGCAATACTCATAGCTATTCACAACGACGGCACTGTAGCACACCTAAATAAGATAAGAAGATCCTTTGTGGACTGTCCCATAAACCATTAGAAGAAAAAGTTACATAGCGTGTTTTTATACATCTTGTTGCCCAAAGACCGTATAGTAGACATTTTCTGGCCAAGGCCTTCTGAAATATCAAAAAACCTGTTAGAAAGAATTTAACTTCCCGATTTCAACAGCTCTTTCATAAGGCCTAAAAACAGTATTTTCAAAAATTAAAGCAGACATTCCTTAAACTCTGAATTCTGTGGCAAATCCCACAGGTATCCTCAGTTCCCACAGAATCCCAGCACACCTATGAAGTCCAGAACATTTTTAGTAACACTAAAATTATCATCTGAGAAACTCTTGATGACCCTAATAAAGAAGGGGAAATGATCATAGAAACACGGCATGTAGATTCTGTTGAATTTTCTTACAGTGCCTATGAAGACCTTTATGCAGAATATACAAGGGCCTCATATAACTACTGTGGTGGATGGGATGAGGAAGTTGGCTCAAATGCCTTAATGCCACTATAATTTCAGACCTACATACTGGCTGAATAAAGTTATGCATTGCTCAGGTGCATCTACATCCTTACATAAAGAAACACAACTTTAAAAAGCAACATCACCCCCCCCCCGGTGCCCATACAGAAGAGGGGAAAAAGGGGGGGGAACAGATGTTACCCTCAGCTCACATTCAGAAGCAGTGCTCACTTAAGTGCAGAGAGATTCTTTTTTCCCCAGCATGAGTTTTTCTCACTCCTGTATCTTGGGGAAATAGTTTGCTTCATGATTACGACTGATGGTCTGGAAAGCACAGGCTTAATTTGCCAGTGTGATCACTCAGGTGCTGAGGAAATCCCGCCTCTGGAGAACAAATGTCCAGATAGCAAGAATTATGCAACTTCCTTAGTGTTTTTTTCTGGAAGAGGTGGGTCGACGGGGTTTTAAGAAATGAAACTAGAAAGACCTTCCTCTAGCTATGCAGTTTCGCTAGAAAACAAACTACTGTATCTCTGAATGAGGGTGAGCAACCCTTATGTCAAGCACCACATTCCCTCAGAAGAATTCTGTCAGGGGTCACGTGCCAGCTGAGGGCAGTGGTAGCTGAAGTCAGAACTAAGACTTAGCAAGTCCACACATATTACACACACAAACACACACACAAACACACACATAGACATAGACACACACACACACACACACACACACACACAAGACCTCATGAGGCCAGGTCACGAGATCACAGCCATGTTGGCTCATGTACTCTTGAGAGTTATGGTTTTTTAAAAAAGTAACTTTTCAAAGATCTAGGGAGAAAAAACAACTTCAGGCACAAACAAAGACTAAAAATCTTCATATAGAAAATACAAATTTTTCTTACATGGGGTGCTAATAAATGAATAAACAAACAAACCAAGGAATGTTGAAATAGGATGAAAATCTCCCTCTCACCAGGGCTTTCAATTCTCATCTATACTTAGAGCAAACTTGCTTCTTCAAAGGCAAAGATCCTTACACAGCCATCTGCAGCAAAAGATGAGTTATCAGCAATATCTGGGGGAACCTCAAGTTTAGGAGAAATACATAAAAAGCGGCAGTCCAAACAGATAAGGGAAATGGAAGGGAAGATGCCGAATCGGCTGCCTGGCACTGTGAGCAGAAGCACTTCACACTACAACAACCCATTCCTCGTTTAAAAACCTGATGCCAACACATTTATTGTAATACAATACTGTACTCTGTTTCTTTCCCAGGGCAGAAGTTGAAAAGTGCTTCAGGTACCATGAAAGAAACCTGCCTTAGCTGGAGGTTTTTGTCCTCTTCTGCTAGTTATTTCCTGGAACATACACGAGAAAAGAGAAGTCAGCGCTCTGGTTTAGTAGCCTGGGCTCACTTAAAACGCCTGGAGCCATTTCATACTTGCAGAACTATGCATACAAATGTATTCCTGGAGAAAGGATGTGGCAAATTGTGTACTAATTGTACAGCTACGTAAAAAGAACAAAAGCAAAAAAACCAACAACGACAACCCCAAACCATGATGTCCCATATGTCCCAGTTATAATATGGTCTATAAATTATTTAAACTGCAATGGAAAACAACTGTGGAAGGATTGAAAATCATGCGGGCAATACTCAAGGATTCAAAACACCCGGGGGCTGCCTGCTGACTCTTCTTACCATCTTGAAAAAATCCTTCCCTTCTCAATAAAAACAAAAAAAAGAAAAAATGTTTTATTGCGGAAAAAAAATTCTAGTGGTTGCATTTGCAAAATGGAAGTTGTTATGACAAAATTACATACAGCGTACGAAGGGCTGAGGGAAGCAAAAAACAGTCACAAATGCAACCCACTTTTCTAGTCTATGTATTTAGTGATATCTATTTTCAGATATGCACACGGAAACTTTGTAAACTTTTCATTTTGTTATATATTGTTTGTGGATTTCAATGGCTTCCCTGTGCAGTCTAACATAGTATTTTGAAATAGAATTTCATGTCCAACTTGTTTTAGGGCATGTTCAGCTACTGCCGATTTTTCCGGTTGTTTTAGTCTACAGCGTCTCTCATGTTCTTTTATTCTGGTCTAGATGCTGCGTTTTGTGATTCCAATATATACCTGTCCACAACTGCAAGGTATCCAGTATACTCCTGCAGTAGTGAGAGGGTCCCTTTTGTCCTTTGCTGACCGTAACATTTGTTGTATTTTTCTAGTGGGTCTGAATACTGTTTGTAGGTTGTGTTTTTTCAATAGTTTCTCCATGTGGTCCGTGACTCCTTTGATGTATGGCAGAAATACTTTATTTGTGGGTGGCTGTTTTTCCTCTTCAGTTTGGTGTTGTTTTCTTGGCTTGATGGCTCTTCTGATTTCATTCTTGGACTAGCCATTTGCCTGTAGTGCCCAATTCAGATGGTTGAGTTTGGTGCTGAGAAATTGAGCTTCACAGTTCCAATTTGCACAGTCTACCAGTGTTTTGATTATGCCTCTTTTTTGTCATGGGTGGTGGTTGGAGTTTTTGAGTAGGTACCGGTCTGTGTGGATGAGTTTTCTGTAGACCAGACCTGGGCAAAGTGAGGCCCAAGGGCCACATATGGCCCGTGAGCCACTCCTGTCCGGCCCGCAGACAGTTTTGAACATCAAAACCATTTATAGCTTTTTGACTAAAGTTGATCAGTTGCTTATCTTTAATATACTGCAAAAAACCTCTTTAGTATTTGTGAAGATTAACGAGTTTAAAATAAAAACAATCATAACATCACCATTTCATTTTATTTTTAAGTAAAATTGGTTCGGCCCCCGAACATAGTTCAGATTTTTCATGTGGCCCCCCCTATAGAAATTAATTGCCCACCCCTGCTGTAGACTTTGTGTCCCAATAGATCAGTTTTGCCAGGGAAGCCTTTGAAATCCACAAAGAGGGGAAATAAGTTTAAATGTTTTTTATGCTATTTGGGGTCGATTTATTGAATTTGTACTAGTGAAAGTAAAGGGGAAAGCCTCTAAGCAACAATCAATACAATTTTGGAAAGGAGGTTCATAATAAAAGTATTGCTCCAAAGTGTTCCGTGGTTATGGGGGTGCACTGTGTTTTAGATTGTATTAGTAAGTATTTGGTATTTTGGTATTTGTTTTGGAAATTAAAAAAAATTAAAAATGAATGTTGGAAGGGATGTGTATGTGCCTAGAAGCAGGAAACCCTCTGAATAATAGGTACAAGCAAGTATGCTGCTTATATACTGCCTTATAGCAGATAAAGCACTCTATGGAAGGTTTACAATTCAATTATGCAGGCTACATATTGCCCCCCCCTCACAAGCTGGGTACTCAATTTACTGACCTCGGAAGGATGGAAGGCTGAATCAACCTCGAACCAGCTACCTGAGCCCATCCAGATTGAATTTAGATTGTGGCCATAGTCTTGACTGCAGTACTACACCACAAGAAAAGTAAGGTGAAGATGGAAGATAAAAAGAATTAGCAGAAAAGGGTCCTTCTTAAAATACAAAATCTTAGTCACTCACTTTGATGCTGTTTAT